AGACGGACGAATGTATCCGGCATCCAGCAACTCTTTCAGTTGTTTTCGAAGTTCCTCCAACTCCGGTAGTGCCATGCGATAAGGTCCCATGGCTAGAGGATGAGCTCCTGACTCGAGCTCGATCTTGTGATCCACCTCTCTCCTAGGTGGGAGCTTACTTGGCAGCTTTGCGGGCATGATGTCGTGGTAGTCCTCTAAGACACTTCGGATATTCTCGGGCACGTCTTCTCCCTGGTGTGAGTCTTCCTCCACCTTGACTGTAGTAATAAAAGTTGGCTCATGTCGACGGATGCCTTTTTGGACACTTGTAAGGCCGAGAGCATTTTAGAAGTCACACTCTCGCGTTTGATCGGAACTGTGCACGCCTTGTCCTCTAGGATGCACATTGTATTGGTGTATGGAACTAACACGGCCTTCACCTTGTCTAAAAATTCCAAGCCAAGTACTACGTCAAAGTCGTCCATGGTCACGACCGTCAAGTCTTCTTGGCCGCACCATTCTCCGATGCTTACATCTACCTTCTGAGCCACGCCAACGATGGGAGTGGGACTTGAATTGACAGCTTTGATGACACCCCCTCCCTTGGTGATCTTAAGATTCAACCTACTAGCAACATCGCGAGAAACCAAGAGATGAGAAGCACCAGTATCTAGAAGGGCCTTGAAGGTTTTACCGAAAATGGTTGTTTCAATGACCATCGCTCCTCGAGGTCTTGCATCCACTTTTGCCTTGATTGCATTGAGGAGACGAAGTGAGTTGATTCGGGTCTCCTCATTTTTCTTCTCCTCTTCCTTCTGAACTAGAGCCACAAGATTGGCCCTCTTGGGACAGTCCATAGCCTTATGTGGACCGTTGCAGAAGTAGTATGTCAACTTCTTTGAACGGTCACCTCCTTTAGAGTTGTCATAGGATTTACCCTTCTCGGATGTTGACTTAGGTGGGAACTCTTTGGATGTCTTATCCTTCTCTCCCCCACCTTTAGTAAGCGCACCCTTTTTATCCTTTGGCTTGGACGAGTTGTTCACCTTCTTGAACTCGATCAGCGACTCGGCTACTTGCATTGCTTGGGCCAGAGTCTGAACGTCACGCCTTTGTAACTCCATCTTGGCCCATCCCGCGAGGCCATCCATGAACGAGAATAGAGTCCTTCTCGCCCATGTTCGGAATCTCCAGCAGCAACTCTAAAAATTCTTTCACGTAATCACGAATTGAACCTTTTTGAGTAAGGCGACGGAGTTTACCTCGGGCCTCATCCTCAGCATTCTCCGGGTAGAATTGCCGCTTTAGATCTGCCTTGAATTCTTCCCAAGTAGTAATGGAGCACGTACCCTTTTTTATATCTTCGCATCGTCTACGCCACCACAACGTAGCGATGTCTTCGAGATAGAGAGGTATGGCTTGGAGCTTGGCTGCATCATCCCTATATCCGACAACATTGAAGTATACTTCCATGTTCTATAGGAAGTTATCAATCTCCCGGGCCCCTAGCTCCTTTATACGGCTTCGGTTTAGGAGTATCTTTAGCCATGAAAGGTTGTGAAATCATACCTCGAGTTGCCAAGATAGCATCATATTGGCTGAACTTTTCTTTAAATTCAGCCATCTCCTTCAGGAACATTTCTCCTTGGCTCCGTAAGAATGCACACTCCTCACGTACAGATGTGATCCCTTGCTGTAGCATGTCGACGGCGGAATTCAAGGCCGACTGCATCTCCTCCCGAAGTTCGTCTCCTGCAGACTCCAACTTCTCGATGCGCTTGTCGAAAGCCTCCATCTTATCTGCCACGGTAAGCTCCATCTTAGTCAACCGTGCCTCCAACGTCGTCATGATGTCACGAGATTTATCCCTACGTTGCCTTGGAACATCCTTCGGATGCACCACACCAAGTACTTCGGAACGAAGATCGGAGCTCGACATTATCACTTCCGAACCTTGGCTCTGATACCAAATATCACGGGCTGATTCTTTCACCACAAACCTCACTCGAACCCGTGCGGCACTTAGTCACTCTTTCTCTCACTAGAATGGCTAAGTCAGCCTAATCCCTCAAACACTCACTCAAGAGAAGGGAAGAGAACACTCAAGAGTGGAAGTAGAAGCTCATATTGCTTTATTGCTTAGCAACTCTTGCTTGATACAAATAAAATGTCTTAGCCCCTATTTATAGGCAAGGCTAGCTTACAATGGATGGCTATGATTAGCCTTCTAGATTGTTCTTATAATCAATGGTTAAGATTGAGTCTCTAGACTCTTCTCCTAAAATATCTCCCTAGATATTTACATGGGACTTTCTAGAAGCTTTTACAAGGGTCCTTAGATATTTTAATGAGACTTCCTAGAAGCTTCTAGATACAAGATATTTATCATATCTTTATTATCCAAGAAAACTCTAGAAAATCCTAGGATCTTCATGGACCCAACCATGAATAAGTGAGCCCAAATGCATCCAATTGAGCCAAAAATAGGGCGGTTCGTGACAACATTCACACAATGAACAAATTACCAGTTCCAGTAATTTACCGTACGGAGAAAAGTGTAGATCTTTCCAAGAGATTGCTTGCATTTTAACCGCTCCTTAATCCCCGCAAAGCACGACAATGAAGAGAGAACCGAGAATCAATAAGACCTAATCTGATCGTAGTTCTTCTTAATGAACTCCACGAACCTC